GGTCGCCGGCATGGTCTCCCTCAGGCCATTCTGCCAGTACCTGAAGATGGCGTTACCCCGTTCTACCTGCATGCGTAAGGCAAAATTAGACGGACAGGTGGCTGTCGTCTTCTTCTTGGGGAGTTGGAGGATGGCGTAGTGGATCAAGCTCACGTAGTCCTCGACGCCGTCGTGGACGCTTTCGAGCAGCTGGCGAGGAGTTAAATGAGCACTGCCGAACGCCGCTCAATCCTTGTAGATAAACAGTGTGGCCAAAAGTTTCGCGCATTCGTCGATATCTACGGCCCACGAGCCGTCCTAGTCCTCGAAGAACAACGGCTTCTCGAACAAAACCTCCGTCCGCACGCTCTTCAGGACGAGTACCCACATCTTGTTGAACGGCAGCCCAGAAATTGCAGGGAGGTAGTCACAGCCCGACTCGAGGAAGGTGAGGACGAACAGACGTACCTCGTCGGCGCCCGTGGGCCTCCAGCTTCTGAAGGTCAAAGGCGGCCACGCGGATTCGCTTCCGTCCTGGAGTTCGCAGATTATGGCGAACACTCTGTTCATCCACAGGAACTTGGTCTCGCCACCCACGACCCTCTGGACGGTCACGTCAACCGCCCCCTCGCCACGAGGCGTCAGCCAACCAGTGGTCATCGCCAGTAAAATGATCATCCATAGGTCCGTGTCTACTGATGAAACGACCCACTTGCCGAACTTTTTGCCCCAGTACGCCTTCGCCCGGGCGATGAAGTGTATCACGGAGAGCTCCGCCTCGCCGATGTCTGGCCTACGGTGCCGCTCGACGTCAGGGATCGGGTCGGTTCCGTTTCGAAAGCCTAGGAGTGGTACTGTTTCCGAAAGCGCCTCCCTGGTACCGACCGCATCGAGGCCTACATCCTCGGCATCTACACCAGCTGGATTATCACCACTCAGACCAGGTTCACCTCCGACGCCATAGAATGCGACGATTCCGTTGGGCTTGGTGTCGCCGGTCCAGACATCATCAGCCAGCACGCGCATGGCCAGGTTAGCGGCGATTCCGTCCCGCGCCGCCTTACCATCGGCTCGAAGCCATGACCCATACTGTAACGAAGGAACCGAATCCGTTGACTTCGGGTCGAAGGTCCGAGAGCACTCTCCAAGTTTCTCGATCCTCCCAAGCTGCTCGTGTTCTTTGATTGCCGGCACTAGTTCTTGGCGGTCGTAGCACACCACGAGGAGCTCCGTCGACTTCAACCACCTCGACAACAGCTGCTTCTTGAAGTAGTCGATTACCCCCGCGGTCCCCTTCTCGAGGTATTCTGGGTGCACCCCTTGGTGGATTGACACGGGAAGATCCACGCCATGAGCTTCGGCGCGGTAAAACGGGTCGTCGTGAAACCCGTCGGCACAGTGCTCTCTGACCCATTTCAACGGACCTGCCGCGTTGTTGGCGTGCTTGGCTCCTGTTGCGTTAAAATGAGACATTTCCAACAGGGTGTATGGGGGTGGGGTGGGGGCGAACACATTGATACATACTCAGATGCATGGGTGTTGAGAGTGGGTCAAATTCGGCTGGGAGCGAAAGCTCGAGATGACAACGTCCTTCATTGCTTAATCTGTCTAGTCGGACGAACCCACTGCTTCGATTAAATTGCGCACGCTCTCTTCCTCACCTCCCGTCGCGTTGGCCATGCTGTACGGCGTGGCCGCGCGTATGGACCCCACCATTTCCAGCATCTGGTCTTGTGTCACCGCACCCCCTCCTTCTCTGGCCGCATCAAACAAGTTCAGCGCCCATCCCTTCCACTCGTTCCCCGCCGCGTAGGCATTGCCGACCTTCCTTGAGTCTTCGTGGCCTTGTTGGTGCTGTTCCTAGCCGGGATGGAGAAACTTTTCTTCTTGGTCGCGCCCTTTAGGTTCTTCTTCTTGAAGACGTAGTAGAGGGCACACTCTCAAAATTTCGCGGTAGCCTTGTCGTGGGCGTGGAGAATCGCTTGCCACTTGACCGGCGGAATGACTCTCCCGTCCAACGCCACGACCTTGTCTTTGCCATCATCGCCTTTGAGTGCCGGGCTCTCCCTCAAGCAGTCGATCGCCGCCCTGACTGCTGGCGCACGTTTCACCGACAACTCTCTGCAACGGTCCCTTTCCGTGCGTGGTGTCTCGATGAAATGCGATTCGAAGTCGAAGATGGCGAACTCGCGCAGCTGGGCAATCGGTGCCAGCTTTTCTATCGTGCTCGAAAGGATCCTTTTCGTCAACGTCTTGTAGAGACGATTGGCCACCTCCTGCCTCTCGTCCAAGCCGATTCGCGCAGACGTTTCAGGGCCGAGTGAGACGGAGAAAAGCTCGGATACGACCCTCATATCATTGTGCGAATAACGGGACACCTCCGTCAGGTTGTCTACCACGAGAAACTGGTACTTGTCTTTGCCGGTGATGTAAACGATGGGGGCGATACGGCGAAGGGCATCAAGCCTCGACCTGAAGTTCCCCGTACGCAGGGCAGTTCGGAAGGCGATGTACGCAGGGTAGTCGTGGAGGAGGAACTGCTTCCACATAGCGAAAGTCTTGTGAGCCTCCGCCCGTGCCTCTATCCACCGAATCACCCCGTGGACCACCTCGTCATCTCCCACTGGCCTGTCGTACTTCCCCTCTTGAAGCCCAAATTGGCTGAAACTTGTCGTGATAGCCTGACACTGAGGTGGAATTACTGTATCGGGTATTTCCATCGTATCTTGGGGTGGGAATGGTCTATCCAGTGGATCTACATGCGCAACGTTCAAGAGGGTGCGTTCGGACCCAAGGCGTGGACTCTCCCGATATTGTATTTTGAACACACCATGCTTATCCCCTGCCGCACATAAATCGCCTCAAACCTTTGGCATTACGTGGCAATACAACCTAGGTACATGGCGGCAGCATTATTAGGCTGAAAAACAACTACCTCGCGCAGAGGTCGGTTCGTGTGTGAAGCTCCTTCCCTCATCTTGGAGCTGCTGCATGGTGGTACGCTCTAGCTAAAGTCCACCTTTTTCGCCCTACCGTGCGTAACTGGACATATAATATACCCTAATGTGCCCTGGCACCTTGTTTACATAACTCTCTTGAAAACTGGACAGTTTAGCCTCTCGTTCGCCCTCTCAAGCCGGTGCTAGGTGCGGAGCTCTGTTGCCGAGTGAGCCGCCTGATCATGAGGGTTTCCACAGGGGTTGCTTTCCCGTTAGAAGCTTTTTTTTGTCTACTTTTTTTTTTCAGCCGTGCAGCACTGATAGAGCTCTGGCGAGAGCAGAAGATTCGCCGCGGACAACAACAATATGGGACCAACGACCCTAACCGGTCCTTCCGTTTTCGCGAGGAGCGTACAAAAACCATGCACGATGCGGCGGCTGCACTCATTCATGGTTCCCGAACGATAGCGCGCGACGTGCACCGAGTTTGCCGTAAGACCGAAAACTGGAAAACATGCATTTTTTTTTTTTTTGCTGAGCCACCCTCCTGGCGGCGGGACATATTTGCGTTTTTTATTCATGGTGGCACCTGCTGCTGCTGCTGCTGCTGCTGCTGTGTTTGTTGTGTTTTTGGCAAAAACAATGGAATCTTCATGTATTTACCAGAGGGCGCGCAAGCAGAAGCTGCAGCGGCTGTTCAAACAGGGCGTGAGCAGAGTGGTGAGGAAAAGGGCGGAGGAGATGGACCTCATGGCGAAGAAGGGCTCCCTTTACGTCATGGACGCCTTCGCGGGAAGGTGAAAAGACGCCTTGAGTATTGTAGGAGTAAAATGTACTCGTACGCCGGAGCACTCCGAGTCTGTTTTCAACAAATGATTGCTAAACGTAGACTACGGCAAGAACGTACTTACCCAGCAAAAGGTAGTATCCCGGGCCTTTTTTATCTGCTGTGGATGGGATGGTTTTGTTTGCGTTTATTGGAAGAGAGAAAGAAAAAGGCATACCTTTTGTACAGGGGAGATATCGCTACATGCCGCTCGGGAAATCGTGGACATATACAGGTACCTCCCGCTGACGCTATGGATTTCATTGCCAATTGCTAATCCATCTCAAGGCTCTTTTCTTAGATAGAGATGGATTCGTTGTGTCAGACATATTCAGAACCAATAGAAAGGGGTATACAAGGCTGCCCTTCGAAGCGGGCTCATGAGGGCACAGCATTAGCGGTGATCCTTTTTCACACAGACATGCATGTACAGTCGACCCCGCTTTAAGGACGCACATGGTTTTTCCTGAAAAAGCGTCCTTAAAGCGGGGCTGCGTCCTTAAAATTCAGGGGACGATAGCTCACCATCTCCGGGGCCAATGGAGGCATTCTTTACCTCAAACTACGCGTCTTTTGCCAAGGAAGGGGGTGGTACGACAAGTTAGCATCGCCGAGACGACTGGCAACCGTTTGTTGACGTCGAACATATTTACAATACTTGAAATGAGATGTACAGCAGTCAGGGACGTGTTGAAAACAACTACAGTACACAAGTTTGATTGGCCAACAAATGTACTGCATGGCCGGCAGCGGAAGGAGGAAGGTCCAAGTAGACGTATATTTATCTCATTCTTGTGAAACAGAAAAAAAACGAGCGTACTTCAGCGTCGCACCGAGGAATACCCGTACATATCTCTGTCCCGGCGGAGACCAAAAGCTACCCTGATGGCTTTTCCTTCCAAATATCGCGAAGAGTTCCCTGAACCACCCCCCCGCGGCTTGGCTCTACGGCTCTGTCGAGTTCCATGAGTAAACGAATGAACGGGCTTCGAAAGAAGGTACTGCATCTCACTGTACTCGCCACCCCTTCCCTTCGCGTGCGAAAACAGATAGCGCCCGCAGTTAAGAAAAATGCTGTTAAGAAAAAAGGCTCAACTTTGTACGAAAAATAAGAAAAAAGGGCTAAGAAACATAGCTCAATCTCGGCCACAGCGTAAGAAACGCCCCAATAAGAAACGTGATGGTGCGATACCCCCATGACATCAGAAATCTGCGGTGCTCTCAACCCCCTCCCAAGCTGAACAGAAGTGCATTTTTTTTGGTAGGGGGCAGAGTCCCCCCTCCCCCCCGCCCCTGCTGTTCACTGTGAGTGCTGTACTGTAGTACTGCCACACATCGCGGACAACCGTATGGTCTCCGCTGTTATACGGTTTGATGGCACTCTCCACCACCTCTCTGGAGGGCTTGATGATATGGATTGTCCTCAGAGATCGAAAGACAGAAAAAATAAAATACGAAGTACTTGCTGTAGTCTAAGGGATAAGAGAATCGGGAGGATGCGACAGTCCAAAGGAAGAAGAAATGCCATTTACGAAATGGACGACTTGGGCCGGTACGTCGACCCAAAAGAAGGGATTGGAGAGGCTCAAACCGATTTTGACGTTTTTTAACTGCGGGCGCTATCTGCAGGATCGAACGTCCTCCAAGCGAGAGATAACCTCGCCCTCTGTGAGGGACGAGGTTATGCAAGACTCTTTTCTTGGCGGCATCAGATGGACCGCCGGTAGATGGGAGGAATCTATCCATACCAATACCCAGTTGCAGCTGCAGCAGCAGACCGCTCGCTACTTCTGCTGTCTGTGCGTCGCTACTTTCGCACTCACTGTGGTGCGTGGTTCGTGCAAAGAGCGGCCCGCAGGCCCGCAGGACACAAAAAGGGGGGTACGCGGCAGAAACATGGGGGTACCCCAATATCGTATATTCTGCCGGGGCCCCGGTGCTCAGCTAAACAAGTTTCCTTAAAGCGGGGAGTTTCCTTAACGCGAGCACCCTTAAAGCGGGGTCGACTGAAGTTCCATTGGTTGTGTGCGAACCTTCATCTCGTCTGCGCTCTCTACACCACCCTTCAAAAAGACACAGAGGATCTACTCTTAGGGGAGCAGCACGGTTGCCCGAGACGAGACAAGCTGCGTTCCCAATGAGAGCACAGCGGTGTCAGCCATTTAAGGGGGGTCATGCAAGAGAAAAAAAAGAAAGAGCAAAGGTCGTGAACTAGCGAAAATCTGCGTCGTGGCCAAGCGTTTTTGAGTTACGTAGTAGCTCAGAGGGAGACAGCTGAACTTGGGGAGGCAGCTGGTTTGCAGCAGCATTCAGTAGCATCTCAAGGCAACCGTCTGCTAAATACTGCTGTGAGACCAACTAACTTGGCTGCACACAGCCATCCAACATCTAACGGCGGTAAAGCTCCATGTGCCCAGCCCTGACGTTTTCCCTACCGTATGCTCGAAAAGCTGATTGCCAGCCGTGAGACGTCTTCCAAGCTCAAGCCACGCAGCTGACGTGTTCGTTAGTCTCGAAGAGCTTAGCAAACCACATTGAACAAAAAAAGTACGGAAATACGGGTAGTTTCCGCTGACGCAATGAATTCACTGCTAGTCTATCCTGTAGGCTCTTTTCTATGGATAGATATGGATTCGTTGTGTCATGCTGATAAAATATTCAAAATTGAATATGTTAAATCCAATTCATTGTGAAGTGAAGTATATATATTGTAGTAGGACTTTTCGTTCGTATTTGGGGGCTCAACTTCGGCTGTCATGTTTCGAGGCCCCTCGATCTTCACCCGCTCAGATCGGGTGGGAATTTTTTGGAGGGACGGACGTTGCGTTGGTTTCGTAGAAAGGTGTGTGAGCAATCAGCAGTCGTGTTTTGCTCTCAGCGATTTGGCATATGGACACTGCACGCAATCTTTTTTTTTTCGTTGTGATAACCGGATTCCCCCAATCTACCCCTAACACGAGCGAGGGAGGCTACGCGTAGGTAGCGGTATTCCTTGAAACGCTTCAACTTGAACGCTTCAAAGAATTATACACGCAGACGTTATTCTGCGACCACCAACACCTCGATAAGCAAACCCCGCCCGGGCAATTAGGTGAGAAAAAGGACAGCAGTGGAGGCTGATGATACGCGATGGCAATTGCGTTTGAGGAAATGTACAATGCAGCAGTGGTTGATTGTCTGCGCCCCTTGCTAAAGAGAATAATTTGTGCGGAGTAGCGAACAGCTCCTCTCCCTCCTGTACGAACCAATGAATCATCAATCGATATCCCGTTTCAAGAAGACCAATGGTACAATATACGCCTCTGCTGAACACCAACCACGCACACTCAGGCTGCAGCATGGGATGGCCGCGATGTCCACGAAGCCGTGGTACATCTTCATGGCCTTCCGGCTACAGATCAGCGCGTACTGGATGTGGACGATCATCGCGAGCAGCGTAGCGCACTCGCTCCTGGTTTTCCTCGAGCCCCGACCGGGAAGGCCTCCAGACGACGGGGTGCTGGGGCCCGGGACCCTGCTGGGCCTCGAGGCGGCCTTCATCACTGTCTACGCGCTGGACGTGGCCCTCAAGGCCAGCTACATGGGGCTCAAGAGCTACTTCAAGAAGCCATGGCAGAAGCTCATGGTCGTGATCGTGCTCCTGCTGGCGGTGGACGCCTCGGGGGTGGTCGGAGTACGCTTCGCCCGCGCGTTGCGGCCGGGTGCGTTTGCTATAAGAAAAATCTCTCTCTTCTTGCTGTCGACAACTGGTCGCCCTGGCCACTGCACCGGCTTAAACGTTCTTTTGGATGCCATGTTTTCTCGACTACGTCGTTCATTTCGTTGCTTCGACGAACGCATCGACGTCCACTGCGACTTCGATTTTCTATGTTTGCCGTTGATGAATCGTTTTGTCGTGTGTGTCGTGTGGCCGCGGGTCCCCCCCCCCCCCCCCCCCCCCCCCCCCCCCCCCCCCCCCCCCCCCNGTGTGGCCGCGGGTCCCCCCCCACCCTCCTCCCCCCGCCCCCTCCCGCGCGCTCGTCTCCTGCCGACACCAAGGCGTCTTGCATCTGCGGACAAGCGATCCGCCTTAAGAGCTTGCTACGTCGTATTTAAGTTGCAGCTGTCTGCTGAAACTGCTGAATCCCGCTCCCGTCCGCAATGTTGTTTGTTCGTCATACATCGTTATGTTTGTTTTTGTTTTTTTTTGGCAGCGATTTTGTCGGTGCGGACACGACACATCCGACGCTTCTACGCGGTGGTGAGCCAGATGCTGCCCGGGTTCCTTAGGGTGTGTCTGCCGATTGTGTTTTTCTTGCTGTTGAGCGCCAGCTACGCGGCGCTGTCGTTCGGGAGGGCAAAGAGCGAATTTGAGGACCCCAGCACGGCGGGTTACGCGATTTGGTGAGTTTTTTTTTTTTTCGTCGGTGAGGCGTTATTCTGTTGGTGGTGGGGGGCCGTGGCATGTTAGTTTTGTCGTGGGCAAGTGGCGGTCGTATTGTTGCGGTGGTGATGGTTTGTGGATCCACACCCGTTTTTAGCAACCTCTTGTCAGCCAGCCTGTCCGCAGGTTTCGCGCTCACCCAACAGGCAAAACGACAGAGCTCCATCTGTTGTCAGGAGGAGGATGAGATTCAAGTATTGCGCCGGTATGTTGCCAACACAGGAGCGCTTCGAGAGACCCAGAACACAAGCCTTTCCCCGCGTTGCAACGAAGCTTTGACACATGTATATCAAGAACTCCCCGGCGGAGAGGCGTTGTTCAGGCGGGGTGTGTGGAAGGACACTGGCCCTCGTGGTGCATGCGCATGCTGCTGTCGGGATTATTCTTGTTTTGCACAGGATGTTGATGGTCCGCGCAGACAACACTGCCCCTCGTGGTGCATGCGCATACTGCTGTTGGATTCTATTTGTTTTTGCACAGGATGTTGATGGGTCTGCGCAGACAACACTGACCATCGTGGTGCATGCGCATGCTGCTGTTGGATTATTCTTGTTTTCCGCAGGATCTTGATGGTCTGCGCAGACAACTACGAGGCCCTGGTGCACGACCGTTCCACCCACCCTGCCTACGTGCCCTTCATTGTCATGGTGATTGTCGTCGGGTCGATGTTCCTGCTGTCACTGCTCCTCGGGGTCACGTACGACGTGTTCATCGAGCACACCACGGAGCAGGCGCGTAGCACCGTTCGCTCGACGCCGATCGTAGCCTGTTGGCGGTCGAGAGCGTTTCGCTTGGTTGTTTCCGCCGCCGATGATGATGATTGGTTGTGAGTTGTGAACCTCAGGCCTTTAGTTGCTCTGGGCCCTCGCCGTTGTTCGTTGACGATCGCGGAAAGTTGGATTTCGCCGTGGTATGCCGCACCCTTTTCTGTCGCACCTTGTTCCTTTTTGGTCTCGTGCTACACACCGTTCTGGTCATGTGCTGCATCCTTCTGTTCATGCTGTACCTTTCGAGTCGTATGCTGTACCCTTTCCTGGTCGTTTCCAGGCGTTGCCACCCTTGACGCTCGGTGTATATCATGTGTCGGGAAAGACTTGTGTACAATAATTGATCGATCAAAGAGCTCCGAGAGACTCGATGAATTGCTACTTATATGTTTCGGCTCGTCTGATGCTGCGGGTCCGCGCTCCCTGTCGTGCTGTGTATGCCACCGCGCATGAATGATGCGTTTTCCTCGGCACAGGTCAATCAAGAGCGGATGAAGGAGCTCAAGGGGCTCAACGTTGCCTTTGCCACCATGGACCCAATGGTGACCTATTTACCGTTACAACAGCGAGAACGGCAGCGAGTGTCGACCCACTGTACATACCTACTGCACGTGTATTACATGTTTGTGATGTTCGTTCACGCCCACCTTAGTGATGGCTTCTGTCGGGGTGTCCTCACGCTGACCGCAGCTCAGTGCTGTTTTTTTTTTCTCGTGCTGCTCGGATGGTGCGTTTTCTGCATGTGCTGCGAGTGCTGCCTTGCCCTCCCACCCCCTCTTGACTCTATCGGTGCTGGGACCTGTGTAGAGAGACGCACTAGAAACGTGTGTGGATATGTACCCATAGTGCTCGTCTGACACCCCTGTTTCTAATCTTCTTTGTCATTTTTTCTTGTATTTTTTGCAGCGGAGGCTTCTCCCCATCAAGAAATCTTCGTATCAAACCCGCTGCAGCAATATGCCATCGAGTATGGCTACGACCAACGAGCGATTATTTGTTCCGGGCGTGTTCCATGTTTTTTTTGCTTACATTAACGCGACCTTTCGTCCACGTTCTCGATGGCCAGGGCACCGGCAAGATGAGCATGGTTGTGTGGGAAAGGTTCTTGCTACACCTCATGCCGCGAACAACGCAGCAGGAACGAGCCCTCTACTTCGAGATAGCCTCGAACTTCGCAGATAACCTGGACGTGCTGGGGTTCATGGACTTGCGACAGGCGAGCTGGTTTGCGGTACCCCCGGAAGCGATGCCTAACCCCCTGATGTCACACCATGACTAAAGTATACTTAGCTTGGAACAATTTGACGCGATTACGATACCATGCGATACCGTATCGTAGGTTGCGGGGTACCACAACCTCCTGGACAGTTTTAAAGCTCGATTCCCCCGCGAATAACAGGACGCCAAAATTAAAGTGGTGCGTTTTCAGAAAGCTCCCGACGAGAAGAAATTTCTAATGCCACCACTGCTGTGGGCACTGTCATTGTTGTTGCAGAGCAATCGAGCTGTGATACGAAAGTCAGTCCAGGGGGCGTGTTACCTCACGTCATGTCACTCATGGTACCCACATGATATGATATGATGCCAACGTGAGCCAACCATATTTGAGCCCCTCGCTCTCAGGTCTTGATGTACCCCACATGATGTGATATGATTGGAACCGCCTACGGTGGGTGGGCGTCTATGGTATGGGTTGCCGCTATAATGCGGGTGAAATCGGCTTGGCACAGATGGGATGTTCAACACAGTTAATACATTGAATAGTTCGGGTGCCCGCTATTGTGCGGGTGAAAGCGCGTGGCACGTACCCGCACTATAGAGGGCCCCCCACTGTATGTGACACCCCCCTTTTTGACCCGTCACTCTCCAGCGTTGATGTACCCACACGTGTAGATGGCCTCTCCTCCTAAGAGACGATCCCTGGCTTGGTGGAACATATAATGATTGATACCAACTATCACCCATCTATGTGACACCTAGCACCCTTCGGCGCCTCGCTCTCTGTCAGGTGTTGAGCTACTCCTTCGTGAACGTGAACGCGGTGGAGAGACAGGGCAAGCGCAAGAAGTGGGAGAAGATGCCCCCGCGGGTGGCCAGGCTGCTGGAGAAGATGGAGGCGGTGCTGGCCACGCGGTGGTGGAAACACACGGTCGCCGCGGTCGTGCTCCTTGGTACGCAAAGAGTGTGAACTGTGTTCGTCGGATGGTGTGCCGTCTTCTTCTTCAGTGGAAGGTTCAATTATGCTCACGGTCGCCGCGGTTGGCTCCTTGGTACGGACGGGTATCAATTGTAAATAGTTGTAAGACGGCCATGTCTTCATACGTCGAAAAGATTGGAAGTATTACTTGGAAGTACACGCGGTGGCCGCAGTTGTGCTCCTTGGTACACAAAAGTAATACTAGCAGTCTTGTGGGAGGTGTATCTTCTTAAGTTAAGATAATGATTAATGGTTCTTGTGTCGTGCCACCGACACGACCATAAGAAGACGCCTTCTCCTAGCATGCATGTAAAACCATGCGAATGGTATCCTGAAACGTGCGGCGATCCCGATGATGCCCTTGTGTACTCGCAGCCCTTTTTTGTAGGCACAGGGATGGCGACGGGCTTTTGCCTTTCTGCGTACGGGCTGGCCAGCCGATGTGTTGGGGTGCTTGTTTCTCCCTCCGATGAAAGTCTTTAGCGTGGAGTTGCTTAAGAGGCGAAGCGCTCCCCCCGCCCTCCCCGCCGTATTTGATTAGGATGCCTCAACGCACGGCGGCGCTAGCTATGGTCGTGGTCGATCGTTGAGATGCGAGTGGCCTCGGCAGTGAAACCTAGCGGTCTGTTGATCTCCTTCTTTTCTTCGGTTGATAACGTGCTACGCTGGAAACGCTTCCGAAACTTCAATAGCGGCGCAACAATACCCAAGATGACGCGCAACTTTTTTGTCCAACGCGAACCATCACTTGACCTGGCGGACGGCCTGTTTTTTGTCTTTCTTTCGTCCCTGTACATGCCGCCAGACTGCTTCATCTTGCCCCACAGCATTCCCCACCAGGGGCCGGGGCTGATGGTGACGCGGCTCACCTTGGCATGCGGGGCGGTTTTGCTGTTGGATCAGGCGTTTCAGCTGGCGGAGTGGATGCACCAGGGGGCTGGCCCCGGCCCGCTCAAGCTCTCGGGGGGCAAGAGCCTGCACACGAAGGTTTGTTGGTTGCTTGGTTGGGTGTTCGCGGTGGCTGTGCGTGTGATCTCATGGGGTTGTACCTTGTGCGTGTTGTTGTCGCTCTCTCAAGTGTTGTTCAGCGTTTGGATGGAAAGGGTGGGTGATGCCGTGGGTGTCGTGTACGTACGCGTACCGTTCCTAGATCGTTTTCGGCGATGGCACTGCTGTCGTGGATACGGGAAGCCAAGGTCCTATGTACACTCCCCTCCCTCCGGGTTGTGCAAGTCTTGGTTTTCCACGCCGCCTGCTTAGTTCGTTCTGTACGCGGTCCTTTAACTTGTAACCCCGGTCGCAACCAATGGCATGGCTGATTTGCCCCAGCAAACTTACAGGATGATGACCAGCCTCTGGTTCATCGTTGTGAAACGTAGCCTGGGCCGGCGAACACCCGGCGTATCCCTCCGCCCTGACATTGTAGAGATGTGAGGTCAATGGTCTAACGACATGAGTACACCCCTCGTTCCTCTTTCTCTCTGTCTCTCTCTCTGCCTCTCCCTTCCTCTCTTTCTCCCTCTCTCCCTCTCCGTCTCCCTCTCTCTCTCTCTCCACTTCTCGTCATCTCCTTAGGTGGCAGGAGTGGGCGTCATCCTACACACGTTGGTGGTGGCCTTGCTCCACTGCCCGCCGCTTCTGTCCCTCGTCTGCTCCTTGGTCTCCTTCACCTGGGACACCTTTTCCTCCTACTCCGGATCTCTACCGTCAGAATTTTCTGGCGGCGGCGGCGGCCCGGAGTTCTCCGTAGCAGAAGCGGAAGGGCTGGGGGGCGCGAGCGGTGCTTGGGAGGGAGAGATTTGCGGACTTGACGAAGGCGTCTTTGGGGGGGGGAGTGAGCTCGGGGTGTTTAAGGGGGGCGGCGGACGGGAAAGGATGTGCATGGAAGTGGACTGGTGAGTTGGTTACCAGCGACGAAAAGCTGTTGTGTGCACAGTAGCCTCGTTTGTTTATTTCACATTGGGATGTGCTCACGGGTCTGTGCCCGGTGACCTTTGTCGGAATGCCGGGGAGAGTATCGTTGTTGTACCTACACCACGCCTTCGCTAAACACTCGTCGTGGTGTGTGCATACGTTTCCGTTGAAAGAGCAGCACCGCTGGGTGCGGAACGGTCAGATCCGAATGGTTTCTTGTGTGTAAGCCAGCAAATATGGCACATTTTTTTGTTGCATACCGGTGATCCTTCTACCCCTGTCCTCCCTCGTCAAAACCGCAGCCTCTCGACATCTGAAAAATGAAATGGCAATACATCTCCTTCGTGCAGCAAAGACAACGAACCCGAGTTCAAACCAACCCCCCCCCAACCAATCCAATCCTTATCAGGTGTACGGACTCGCTGTTGATGCTGGCCTACACCCTGCGGCTGGTGCGGTGTTGGCGACTGGTGACCCTGAACGACACCCTGCACGACCACGTGAATACCTTCTTCTCCGTCGTCCCGGTGTTCGCCCAGACGCTCAGCTTCGCGCTCATCATCGCCTACGCTTTTGCTATGGTGGCCATGCAGGCCTTCGCGGACAAGGTGCGCGTTGGGGGACAGGGGGGGGGGGGGACGGGGCGTCCTCTTTATGTTTGCATGCCTTAGGGTTTACACCATTGACCACGCACCTCGAGAGGCGGAGCATTGTTCCCACAAGACCGACCACCGATGGCCAATCGTCCCTCCCTACTTCACCAACGGTGGAGGGGGGGGAAGGGTGCACGGTATGTGTCAACAGACCCTTGAAGCGGCACGAGGTAGGGGGGAGAGGGGAGAAGGAGACGTGTGCTTCTTCAGTTTCTTCGCAAACACGACACGGCGTTAGGGTAGGTTGTTTTCGCGTCGCTCTTCGCATGGATGGAGACGAACAGACAAGTTGGCACCTACACCTGTCTTGCTTGTGTCTTGGTTGGAAGCACGTACTATTATATGAATAGTTACCTACAACCCTTGCTGTTCGTTCGTGGCGGGGAAAATGATGTGGGAGCCATGGTGACGACGCTGACCGCTATCGTTGATAGCGTTAACGTCGCCGGTGGTCTTTGGTAGAGCAAGATTCATGATCAGCGAGCCCAAAGGTGTCGGATTCAGACAGCGCCATGCTGCGATTCCGCGTCACCCCCAGCGTTCCTCCCTTTCTATGTGGAAACCTTGCGGGCTGATGTAAGCACGCATTTGACCCATGCAAGATGGAGGCATAACGTCGCCACGGCTAAGCTTTGCGTCTATCCAATACAGTCTCAACATGGCACAGCAGAAGGAGCCATTAGCTGAAATATCGTCCACAACCAAACCTCTACCCCCCAAATCTCGGCAAATAAGTACAAAAAACGCACACACATGTACACACAACTAGCAAGCGTGTTCGCGTATTTTATCCCGCTATTAAGACTGATGTCTTTCATTGGTCTGCGCGATCGATGCTAATTCAAGACACACACACACACGCACGCACGCACGCACGCACGCACGCACGCACGCACCCAGGCGACCGCGTTCAGCGACGCCGGCATGTCCCTCCGGACGACGCTGCAGCTCTTCGTGGGCGTGGACTTTAGCGCGGTGGTGGAGGAGACGGTGAACGAAGTGGGGCACAAGGCCCTCCTCTTCTTCGTCGCCTACCACGTCGTCGGGGTGTTGATTGTATTCAACCTCTTGACGGCCATCATGATACAGCTCTACGGGTGAGCGTGTGGGGTCGTAGGGAAGCTGGAGGGGGGGGG